TTTTTTTTTTTTGGTAGAGATGAGGTCTCATTATGTTGCCTGGGCTCTTTTGTAGTTTTAACAGAGCATTTTATGTGATTCAATTTTCTCTCCTCTCTTGGCATATCAGTTGTACTTCTTTTTTTTTACTTGTTGTACTGGTTGCTTTAGAGTTTGCAATATCTGTAACTAATCCAAGTCTAATTTCAAATAACACTATATTGCTTCGTGAGTAGGGCAAGTATCTTTTTTTTTTCTTCTGTATAAAAATAGAAATACTTTAATTTTTTTTTTCTTAATTTTACTTTAAGTTCTGGGATACGTGTCAGGACATGCAGGTTTGTTACATAGGTATACATGTGTCATGGTGGCTTGCTGGAAATTATCCTATAATAATGGAATATTCCTAATTTTTCTCTTCCAGCTTTCATATAATTGCTGTTATTCATTTTACTTATACATAAGCATATATAATAAAGAATATATATTCATTTATGTGTGCCTATATATTTGACATATGTGCATAATATAAGCATATATAATCAAATACACTGTTGCTATTATTATTTTGACTAAACTTCTCTGTTAGGCCAATTAAGAATAAGGAAATAAAAATTTTTATTTTTACCTTCACCTATTCATTGTCTGATACTCTTGTTTTCTTTGTATAGAGCTGAGTTTCTGACTTACGTAATTGTTCTTTTCTCTGAAGAACTTCCTTTAATATTTCTTGCAAGCCAGACCAACCAGCAACACATTCCCCCAATTTTTGTTTGTCTGAGAATGTTTATTTCTTCTTCACTCTTGAAGGATAATTTCACAGGGTACAGAATTCTAAGCTGGTGGATTTTTTTCTCTCAATACTTTAAATATTTCACTTCACTCTCATCAGGCTTGCATAGTTTTTGGGGAGAAATAAGAGTTTTATATAATTTTTTTTTTTTTTTTTGCAACAGAATCTTGCTCTGTCACCCAGGCTGGATTGCAGTGGGCTCACTACAACTTCTGCACCCTGGTTTATGCAATTCTCCTGCCTTAGCCTCCCAAGTAGCTGGGACTGCAGGTGTGCGCCACTATGCCTAGCTATTTTTTGGTAGAGACGGGGTTTCCCTGTGTTGGCCAGGCTGGTCTCAAACTTTTGGCCTCAAGTGATCCACGTCCCTCAGCCTCCCAAAGTGCTGGGATTACAGGCATGAGCCATTGCACCTGGCAAGAGTTTGATATAATTCTTACCTTGGCTCCTTTATGGGTGTTTCCTACTTTCCTCCCTCCAGCTTCTTTCAAGATTTGTTTTTATCTTTAATTTTCTGAATTTTGAATATGATCTGCCCAGGGATAGTTTTGTTTTGTTTGTTTTTGGCATTTATTCTTCTTGCTGTTTTCTGAGATTCCTGGATCTGTGGTTAGGTGAAAAATGATCAGTCATTATTGTTTTAAATATTGCTTCTGTTTCTTTCTCTCTTTCTTCTCCTGGTATTTCCACTATACCTACGCCACCCCATTTGTATTAGTCCCATGGTTCCCAGATATCCTTTTTAGGGATTGCTTTTCATTTAGGGAGTTTCTAGTGTCATATCCTCAAGCTCACAGATTTTTTCCTTAGCTGTGTCCAGTCTACTGGTGAGCTCATCAAAGGTATTCATTTCTGTTAGAGTGTTTTTTTCTTTTTTAATTTCTAGCTATTCCTTTTTATTCTTTGTTAGAGTTTTCATCTCTCTGTTCACATTACCCATCTGTTCTTGCATGTTTTCTATTTTATTTTCATCAAAACCCTTAGCATATTAATCCTACTCTTAAAAATTCCTGTTCTGATAGTTCCAATGTTCCTGCCATATCTGACTGTGGTTCTGATACTTGCTCTGTCTTATCGAACTGTGTTTTTTGTCTTTTAGTATGCTTTGTAATTTTTTGCTGAAAGGTCGACATGATGTGCTAGTTAAAAGGAACCACAGGCCAGGCACAGTGGCTCACATCTGTAATCCCAGCACTTTGGGAGGCCAAGGCGGGTGGATCATGAGGTCAGGAGTTCGAGACCACCCTGACCAACATGGTGAAACCCTTGTTTCTACTACAAATATAAAAATTAGCCAGGCATGGTGGTACGTGCCTGTAATCCCAGCTACTCAGGAGGCTGAGGCAGGAGAATTGCTTGAGCCTGGGAGGAGGAAGGCTGCAGTGAGCCGAGGTCACACCACTGCACTCCAGCCTGGGCAAAAAAAAAAAAAAGGAACCACAGTAAACAGGCCTCTAGTAATGTGGTAATCAGATCGGTGGACAGAAGCAGCACTCTATCGTCCTATGGTTAGCTGAAGTTCTCTGTGCACCAGCTTCTCTGTAGCCCTGGGATAGTTAGATCTCCTTGGGCAATCTGTTTCTCCCCAGATGTCCACCTCCAAAATCAGATCCAACCCGTAACATACTAAGTAGATCTTTTCGGGAACATAGGGAAGAAGATACATATTGCATACCACATAGTAGACACTAAACCAAATTCTTCATCAGCCACGTTTCTTCATCTCACCTCACAAATGTTTTTCCCTGACAATAATTTTCTCTTTCTTATCTCTACACCTTCTTAAAACTCATTCTGCTGTCCAGAGCAGTTCACCTGTGTCCTCAGCTTGTGTGTCCCACTCAGGAAAACAGAGACCAAACAGAAACCACCTTCCCAGTTCCTGTAAATATGTCTGTTTTGATTTGGGACAAGGAGCAGCCTCAGCTCATCTGGCCACATGTACGCAGGGCTAATTATATGTACCTTGCAAGGACATTGTGAGGATGAACAGAGCTAGAATTCAGGCCTAAGTTCTCTGACCTCAAGTTCAATGTCCCTCTCCTTAGCCATCTGAAGACAACAAAATATCGTAGAGACTTTACTCTTAGAAATCTGCCTGGCTGAAACCTTCCATTTAACTGGATTTTGTAACATTCAACTTTTTCTTTTCTTTTTGAGACAGAGTCTCATTCTGTTGCCCGGGATTGGAGTGCAGTGGTGCGATCTTGGCTCACTACAACCCCCTGGCTCCTGGGATCAAGCTATTCTCCTGCCTCAGCCTCCTGATTACAGGCACATGCCACCATGCCCAACTAGTTTTTTTTTTTGAGATGGAGTTTCGCTCTTGTTGCCCAGGCTGGAGTGCAATGGCATGGTCGTGGCTCACTACAACCTCCGCCTCCCTGGTTCAAGCAATTCTCCTGCCTCAGCCTCCTGAGTAGGTGGGATTACAGGCATGTGCCACCACACCTGGATAATTTTGTATTTTTAGTAGAGATGGGGGTTTCTCCATGTTGGTCAGGCTGGTCTCAAACTTCTGACCTCAGGTGATCTACCTACATTGGCCTCCTGAAGTGCTGGGATTACAGGTGTGAGTCACCAAGCCTGCCCCGTAACATTCAACTTTTGAAAGAGACAAAGAATTAGCCAGGAATGTGAAAATAAAAATTCGACTTCTAGAATATGTGTCAGGGTCAGTACAAATTTATCCCTCTTATTCTCTCTGTATCTGTGATGGCAGCCCATGAGACTTGAATTTAGAGTGATGACGCCTGAGGCAGGGTGACATTCTCCATCATTAAAGAGAGATATTATTATGTTCACTGACCTCTACTAAGGCAAGAATGTGGACAGAGATGTTTCAAAAATCATGTGCAAGACTTGAGATGTGATGAGGCTTTCTTCTTAGCCTGGTTTCTCACTTCCTAAGCCTTCATTGTCCTTGACCTCCTAGGACAGGAAGGAGATCAGGGTGACTGAGCCTGTCAGCGAGGTCTGCAGCAGAGGCAAACGGTCACGGCAGTCAGCCTCAAGGTTAATAGAGTGTGTGTTAGTTTTCTAGACCTGCCATAGCAAAGTACCACAAACTTGCAGCCTTAAAACAACAGAAATTTACTCTTTCACAATTCCGGAAGCTGCAAGTCTAAAATCAATGTTGGCAGAGCCGTGCTCTCTGTGGCTCTAAGAGATCTGTCTGTGCTTCTTCCTAGCTTCTGTGGTTGCTGACATTCCTGGGCATTCCTTGGCTTGTAGATGCCTGACCCCCACCTTTGCCTCCCTCGTCACACAGCGGTCTTCCTGTGTGTGTCTGTTATCTCTTCCTATAAGGACACCCGTGATTGGATCAGGGCCCACCCATCTTAACTAGTTACATCTGCAAAGATCCCATCTCCAAATAAAGCTCCATTCACAGTCCTGGGGTTGGGACTTCAGTGTATCTTTTTGGGGAACAAAATTCAGCCCACAATAGAGTGCTCTTTCTGTCTTTCATGTTTGTCAGCAGAAGAATCTGCCGAAATGATCTGGCAGCTAGGACAGAATGAACAGTGACTGAAGGAAGGTGGACTTGTGAGGAGGCGACATCCACGTTTCTGAAAATGGGGCAGTGGAGGCTTTGGGAGCCAACTGAAACTTTAATCTCCTCCCCCATCCCTGGCATAGGCAGATTTTCGAAACTGCCATCTGAAGTACAGGATACTTGCTAGTCTTCATCTGATCCATAACTTCAAAATAAATCCTGGCAAATTGGCCCATTCATCATTCATAAGGTACAGTTTCACCAGCTAGGTAACATTGCCTTCCCAGGTAGATGTGTGTGTAATTCATTCCAGTATTTAAGACAGATCTCCCAGAATTCTATTCAGATTTATTGTCAAATAACTGTTCGGTAAAACTGTGTCTTTTGCTGACTCAGGCCTGGCAGGAAGAGTTGCCACAAGCATGGAGCTCTGGCATCGATTTGTGACTTCCCAGTGGGAGAACCTCAGGGGTGAAAGCCCACAGGCTTGATTGCCTTTTTAGATTAATATTTAATAGGATGACCGCCCCCATCCACCCTGCCAGCCCGGATCAGTGCCACAAGTCAAGGCTTGGCCTTGCTGTGCACAAGGGCTATGAGGAAGATTTGGCAAAATTTTAATTAACTGAAGATAAACATACATAGGGAGCATGAGCCCATTAGCTGGCAGCACCACCCAGAGAGAAAAGGCCTCACTAATCACATGCCACAGCAGGTGAAATGACCTGCAGACCTGCAGCGGCCATTTGCTTTCAAATTAAAAAACAGAGTTTCAAAATAAATACACGTGGGGCCCTGCTCATCAGGTCGTTTCCCCTGAAAAGCAGGAAATGAGCAACACTTTCGACATTTCAGCCCAGGAAAGTGGAAAACACAAGTGCAGCAAAACGAGGCAGGAATTGCCCTTCCTTTGGAGGAGGGAGGAAAGTTGGACAGGAAACCAAGGAAAGGCAATCAGAAATGGAGGACTCAGCCCTGTGGAAAAATACAAATAACATAGTTGGCCTGGGGAGAAGTACCTGGATCTAGAAGTGGGTGGGAAATCAGGCGTGGCCGAGGTACCCATTTGCTCAGAGGCAAGAAATCAGCAAGGTTAGATCGTAGAGTAAGTCTGTAATTTACCAACCTTTGGATTGCAAGATGGCCAAGAAATGGGGATAGAGTTTGAGTTTACAATATTCTAGAAGGAAAATTTGAAACAATTTGGTCAGAAAGTGGGTACTTCATTTGCTCATTAGGGTATACAGCCATCACTTAATATGTAACAAGTGCTATTTCAGGTCTGGGGAGGTGGCAGGGAAGGAGATTTAACAAGTCTCTGTTCTCATGTGGCTTACTTTCTAATAGGGGGAGGCAGGCAACAGATACCCAAGAAACTATCTGGTGGCATTTAAGGCAGAGACCTGAATGGTGAGAAAGCGCTGGCCATGCAGAGATTGGGGAGGGCGTTCTAGGGAAAACGTTAGCACAAAGGCTCTAAGGAAGGTAAGAGCTCGGTCTGTTGAAGGAATGAAGTATGACCGTCGCTCAGTGAGAAAGGATATGAGTAGAAGAAAAGAATGGGTAAGGGGCAAGGTTCAGGATATTGGGTTTTATTACAAGTGCAATTATTTATATGAAACTTGTCATTCTAGATTATAAGCTTCAAGAGGGCAGAGACTATCTCATTGGCGCAATACTTAGTTTGCATTCCAGGGCATCCACTAGCTGCCTTTTCTTTTTCTTTGAGCCTGGTCATCTTCTTCTGACCCTCCTATAGTATGGTGAGCCAGCCTCCAAGATGACTTCCAATGACCCTTGCCTCCTTTTGTAATCCCCTTTCACGTTGAATCATGGCTTGACCTTTGTGGCCAGGAAAATGGGGTAGAATGGACAATGTATGATGTTGAAGGTCAGGTTCTAAAAGTCATTCCAGCACCCATCTTGGTCTCTTGGATTTCTTGCTATGGGGAGGCTAGCTGCCATCGGCACAGTCAAGCAGTAACGTGGAGAGGCACTGAGTCCTTGGACAAGAGCCAGCAACCAGTTTGCCACTCATGTGTATGAGTCACCTTGGAAGTGTATCCTTCTATTCTAGTCAAGCCTTCAGATGGCTGTAGGCCCAG